GGATTTTAGGTAGGGATGATTTTAAGAAAATTTTAATTGACACACAGCTTCTAATATTTGGCTTTTAATTTGGTTTTATGGGGGTTTTTTGTTCTTTGATGTATTTTGTTTGTCTGTTTTAATATGCTGTGCACCGCCCTGAGTCCTACGGGAGAAGGGCGGTATATAAATTAAATTATTAAATTAAATTAAATTAAATGTAGTTCCATTAAAAGTTATATGACGAGTATTAGAGAAAATTCAGACAATAAATCACTATATGAACTAAGTTTGGAATATTGATCATTCCTCTCCCCATCAACATTTCCTTTTCTTTGTATGTTGACAGAATATTTTGAAAATACTTCTTAACAATGTTCAGTTTCCTTGGACTCAGTTGAATAGAGTTGACAAAATTAGTATACAATCTTCATATAATGGTCTTATCATTTCTTAAGAGGTGATAGAATTATTGGGAATGCACTTAATTACATAACTAGAGGAGCATGAGAAATGGCTATTTCTTCTGAGGTTATTTTTTCATGTACTTTGTACTTTATGTTTTTTATTCTTTTTTCTTCTTCTACTTGGCCATTCATTATAGAAGTTGCAGGCTAATCCAGCCATGATGTGAACATCTGAAGCAGATTCACACTGGAGTTTTGTTAACTTCTTTTGTTCATTGCTTTTAGCTTGAAGGCAAAAATGAAAAATATAATTTCTAGGAAAACTGTATTATGCTTATATTTCTTCCCCACTTCTTTGTTATTCCAACGTGTGTAAATCTGAGCTGAGCAGTGGCTAAGCCCCAGAACATAAAATTATTTTAATGACTATTCCTGTTATTTATACAACAAAGGACAAAACAATATCCAAATAATAGATCCATTCGTAACAGTTTTCTCAAAATCTGCGTACAGGTATCCAGTAGTGTGGCAGAACACCTGGCACATTCTCTTCAAGACTGTTCCAATATACAAGAGATTTTCCAAACACTCTACTCACATGGATCTGCTATTTCTGAAAGCAAAATTAGAGAATTTGAAGTAGAAACAGAACGGTTGAACAGGTAAGATAACATTTTTATGTGCAAAGCCACTTTGCAACAGAGTAGATTCCCCTTTTTAACTTTAATCCAAAGTTGGCACTGAAATGAGTGACATGAGAATGGGCCTTCTCCATTTTGAGGCCAAGTTATGGAAATAAAATCTGAGTTTTATCTGGCATTTACATCCTTTGTTTTCAAAATTAAGAAATTATAATTTAGGAACACACACATTCATCATTTTTACTACACATTTTCACTTATTGTTTCTCACTGTTAGGAACTTTTAAAAGAGCAGCTCATAAATATATTGAATAATTGGGCCATGAATTTATCTGCATAGGAAAATATATTGTGAAATAAAATTGACCCTGTAGGACAACTATATATGCACAAATGTTAGTATATTTACATAAATGTAGAGAGGGAGAGAGCAAGAGTAATCTCTTTCAGTTAATTGATTTATTAATTTCTTCATTTTGACTTTTGTGAATTATGTCAGCTGAATAGCAATATGGAAATTTATGATAATGAAAAGAGGACAATCCTAATCATTATCTTTCTTTCAACAAGATAATGTTGTCATTAGTATTATGTCATAAAGGAATCTGTTAGTCTTCCCATATTGTTCTGTAAGCCAGAACAATAGCTGATGTTATCTCCAGAGAAATGTGGTATGAAATCTTTAAGAGTGATTTGGGTAGATCAGAGTGAGAGAAATAATCAGCAGGAATTGCCAAATCAGACCACCATGTGAGAGGATTACACTCCACAGCCTCATACAAATTCATAAAAGAACACACTAGTGGCTGATAACTTTATCCAGTTAAGGCTCTTGATAGGTCCAAGGAAAGCATAGATGGTTTACATCAGTTTTCCTCAACTTAAGGGTTGTCTGTAAAAGCTGTAGAACTCCTAAGACAGTGTAGGGTGGCAGCAACCTCTACATGAAAACTAAGAGGATTTTCTTTTCCGCAGTCGCATCGAGCACTTAAAATCTCAGAATGATTTATTGACAATAACTCTGGAAGAGTGTAAGAGCAATGCTGAAAGGATGAGCATGTTGGTTGGAAAATATGAATCCAATGCCACAGCCCTCAGGCTGGCATTGCAATACAGGTATAACAATGGAGAATATATGAGAAAAAAAAATAAATGAACTGATACATGTTCTTACATTGTTTGATTTACAGGTAGTACTCGACTTACCATCAAAATTTCCATTGCTAAGCAAGGCAGTTGTTAAATGAGTTTCGCCCCATTTTACGACCTTTTTGCCACAGTGTTAAGCGAATCATTACATTTGTTAAGTGAATCATGGGGTTGTTAAGCGAATCTGGCTTTGCTTGTTAGAAGCTGGCTGGGAATGTTACAAATGATGATCACGTGATCCTGGGACAGTGCATCTGTCATAAGTACATGCTACTTGCCAAGCACCTGAATTTTGATCATGTGACTAAGGAGATGCTGCAACGGTTGTAAGTCGAGGACTACTTGTACTATAAAAAGTTTAAGGACTGCACCAAAGCATTGTGTTTTCTCTTTATTTTACTTAATTTCTTGCCTGCTGGCATTACTGTTTCTACTTAGCAAGTGAATTTACAGAGATAACCATAAGTAGGCCATTTTCCATTTCAAGGCCACAGACTCCATTTTCTAGTCCAATCCCTGTCCCGGGGCAGGAATTCTCAGACCATTCCAGACAAATTACTACCAGCTTTGGTTTGAAAACTGTCAGTTTCAACTCCATAGGGCAAGTTGTTCCACTGTTTAATAACTCTCACAGTTGGTAAATTACTCTATTTCGAATTTGTATCTTTGCTTTGATGGATTGTCAGTTCATATGAAATATGGGTATTAAAGGAAAGTGATGTATATTTGTATTTAGCATTTATTTGGTTCATTTTTATACCTTAAAACTCCAAATTATTTCCACATCAAGGCTTAACAAAGTATCTAAATCTTATTTTTAAGAACAATTTAGCGAAACACATAATGTTATCAAACTGCTAATAAAAGCAATCCATGTTTGTTATTATTCATGATAAAAATCCAAAATATTTTTGGTACTAAAAATGCCTTCAGGGAAGTTCTTTATCAGCTATTCAGGCAAGATCTAATAGAAGAAATGCTTCAAAGAAAGAGTTTCTGCTCTTCTAATGCTTATTCATCCAATTCAATTGTCCCATATTTTGCTCTGGAATGCCTGGTATGTTGTAGGACATGTGGAGAGAAAAAGCACCTGGCTTGGTTTCATCTAAACTGCTTGGTTCTATTCTAAAAAGTAGGTTTCTGGAACTGGTGTGGTGATGTGTTCTAGAAAAAAAAAAATAGGAAAGTTGTTCTATAATTTCATAATACCTAGAGTTAAAGGCTTCTATTCTACAATCAAAATTTTATTGTGAATTTTATTCATGCAGTTCTCCTTATATTATTTATATGAATTATTCAAGTTGTTATTTAGGAACATAGAGACCACCAATGATCACCATACTTGCCAGTTTCCCACTCAACAGAGTGGGGATTTAAGTAGATTAATTTCCTCCACCAAATACACTGATTCAGTCTTTTTCTCTCCTCAGTGAACAGTGCATTGAAGCCTATGAGCTGTTGCTAGCATTGGCTGAAAGTGAACAGTCTCTCATTCTTGGACAATTCAGAGCTGCAGGTGTTGGGTCTGTTGGTAAGTGTTCACTTTCCTTCTAATAATCCAGTTTGTACTTTATTGGCTATCCATCACCCTTACAGACAACATTACAATAGTGAATTATCTCATGACTACCGACCGGTATATGCTTGTTAGGACAACCAAGTACAGTTATAACAAATGATTCAACTGGAAGCTAAATACAGAATGCAAGAAAAAAGTGCTTTGAACAATAGCTCATCTTGATATAGGATTATTAAATTGAAATCCATAAACAGTCACATCAACAATGAGTGAGAAGGTTAAATATTTTATACGTGTGATTAGTAATTTAAAAATGCTATTTTTCATCCAGTTTGTTTCCCAAAATTAGGCATCTACTGGAGTATTTCAGAGCATGGAAACAACATGTTTAAAGATTTAATTCATTACATCAGCATCTCAACAGTCAACATGTTATATAGAAGTTTTTAAAGATCAAATGATCATATTTCATTCTTAGAAGGCAAATGAATTTCAGTCCTTTGTTTTAGCATATTGGAATTAATTATTCACAGTCACTATGGAGAGTTCCAGTATTAGTCTTTTCTTCTAAATTGAAAACAAGTTTATTTAAAAAAACAACATAGTTATTTATTTTAAAATCTATTTAGAACAATAGCTTTAAGAAGCCAAAGTTAATTGTATTCTTATTTTATATAAAATGCAAAATACTTTTGACAAAAGCTACTCAAAAGAAATAAATATCACTTTTGTGATTTAAGTAATTAAAAATATACAAACTGTAACATGTCCAAATAAAAAATATTATTCCTGAATCAGGAATCAGAAAATCAGGACTGAACAAAAGTAACCTGCTTCTAATCAAGGAGAAAACCAATCTAGAACTAAGGAGAAATGTCCTGACATTTAGAACAATTAATCAGTTGAAGTCCACAAGTCTTAAAGTTGTGAAGTTTGGAGACCCCTGATCTAGAGCCATGTGGGACGATAAAATAGGGGATTAGGGCTTTCCATACTACCAAAAGCACTTATTAGAATTTATTGTCATTATGGGGTCTGTAAAAGCTGTTTCAAAACTTTTCATCTTTCTTTCCTGAAAGCCCTTCTTAGTGGATTTGGAAGAAAGCTTCAGATTGTTGTCTTATTGAAACATGCAAACATTCAACTTCAGGTTTTTCATATTCATCTTTGTACCATTTAATGCAAAGATTGTATAAAATGTACATTTCACATGAAATAAAAAGTGTCTGTCACTATTTCACCAATAAAATCCATGGATATTATTTTACTTTAAATTGTACAGTGACATCCTTTTAAAACATAGTATAAGCTTTTTAATACAAGGAATAAAAATGATTAACCAAAACAGTTCTCAGTAGCAGAATACAACGTAATAATGATTGGAAGCTATGAAACTATTTATATGAATAGATATTGTTCTATTTCAGGTAGTACAAAAAAATTAGGAAAGTCTGGATAGAGGTAGGGATCCTTTATGATTCGGTTCTTATAGAATCCCATTCAATTCCACATGCAGTCTAAGTTTTTCTTCAGATCTCATTGTTGCTACAAAGATGTCATATGAAGAGCTAGAACAGTTGAAAGACTCACTCTGTGTAGACTTTGTGTGGAGAGTTTATACTTTTACCACTGCCTATTTCACCTCTTTCCAAGTCCAATTATTTTTGAAGTCCATTAAGTGCTAATGTCCTCATGGGAACATAGATATTTGCTTAAAAGCCCACTGACTCACATTAATACTTCTGAACTGCTCCAGTATTACGTTGTTCTGATGATTTGCTTGTGAACAGGGGATCAAACAGGAGATGAAAGCATCACCCAGATGCTTAAAAGAGCCCATGACTGTAGGAAGACAGCTGAGAATGCAGCCAAAGCCCTGTTGATGAAATTGGACGGAAGCTGTGGGGGAGCCTATGCAGTTACTGGCTGTAGTGTACAACCCTGGGAGAGTCTTTCTTCCAACAGTCATACCAGGTAATTATGGCTCATTGGCATGGTTACTCGCCAGTCATTTGGGGTTTTTTGAAGGTTTTAGAGGTTATTTTGGGGTTGTTGTTTTTTTGCATTAGCTAGCCATCCATCCTTCAACAACCTGTTCAATAATATTGGTGTTCTTAATAAATTATTACAGGGTGATCTCAGTCTGTTACTGGATTCTGTTCCAATTTGTGGAGATTTGTTGTATTTGAAATCTAATCTATTTCATAAACCATATCCTTTATTTTGGTAATTTCTCTGCTACTTTATTTCTCCATTTCTTCTCACTGAAACTTAAAGTATATATTAACTGGTTCAGTGGTATTATATGAAGTCTTCGCAGATCTGCAGTGAGTAAGAATCTGATTTCTCCAAGTTACCTGTTAATTACATAAATGAAATCATTTGCTGTAATTCCATTTGATGTTTAAAAATGTAATGCAATATATGGGGTCAATTTGACATTTAGAACTGAATGTATATAACTTGTTTGCTAACCCTCTGCACCTAGAGAACATTTTATTGCACTGTGGATTGGTGAGCTTGGGTATGTAAGAGGATTTAATCATCATATTTAGCTATTTATTTATTTATTTATTTTTATTTATTTTTCATAATTTATATGCCGCCCTTCTCCCCACGGGACTCAGGGCGGCTCACAGCATTTTAAAATAACACAACACAAACAACACAACACAACATTTCCCCTATAAAAGCCAATTAAAACCAAATATTTATAGTCTGTGACATTATTAAAATCATTAAAAATTATCCCTATTTAAAATTCACCCTAGGT